AAATCTATTTGATAGTATATTTCTCAATTCGATAACTTTTGCCTCAAAAATCTTTCCTCCATTTGCATTTGAATATTTCTAGGAAAATAGTTTTCTATAAAAGACTTCTTAAACCTAATCCAAGAGATTATCTCTTGGAATAATTGAAAGTATTTGGTCTTCATAACCTCCTCGAGCTCCCAAGTCATTTCTTTTTTGTTATGATTATCTCTTAATTTTTTAGATACACAGTAAAAGCATGATGGATCGATTATTGATTGAATTATATAATTAATTTATTAAATATATTATAAAATATCTTATAGGTAGATTGATTATGGATTTAATTATGTAATTTTTTTTTTTGTGAGAGTTATTTGTTCTGGTTTTGACCTATGATTCTCAGCTTTTCACTGGGTTAGGGGTGTTACGGAATGTATGGATGGTTTCATATTGTTAAAGATTAAAAAAGTAAATTTATATGTACTTTTGAGTTAAATTGATGTTTTGTTAGATATATATTAAGCCTAACCAGTTTGACTTAGACTCATCTTAAGTTCTAACATAATATCATAGCATAAATTAAAAAAATTAATTTAAATAAATTAAAAATATGAAATATTAAAAAATGTGGGAAGATGGATTCATATGTTTGATCAGATTCTGATGGATAAGATATTAAAAATATTATAAATAGAGTCAAGTTATATATATACCAGACTTTTAGTTAAGTTGAGGGCATTATAGAATGAGCAGATAGTCTCATCTTGTTAAAGATTGAAAGAGTCAGATTATATATATTTTTGGGTTAAATTGGTATATGGTTAAAATATATGTTAAGCGTAATCGATTTGACTCAAACTCATTAATATTTAAATTCTAACATAATATCGTAGCATGATTAAAAAAATAATTTGAATGAATAAAAAATAAAATAAAAAATATTAAAAAATGTGAGAAGATGTATTAATATGCTTGAGTAGATTCTGATAGATAACATATTTAAAATATTTAAAATATTTAAAATATTTAAAATAAAGTCAGATTATATATACTAAATTTGACCCATAACCTAGTAATTTAGGTTTTTGGATTAAATTATTGTTTGGTCACTAGCTTAAATTTTTAGATTAATTTTGTGTTTGACTCGATATATGTTAATGGTAAGTGATTTAACTTGGACCAATGTTAATAAATTTTTAACAAATATAAAGTTGGCTGTTGTCTTCATTGTCATCGCCTACACCAAAAATAATATTTGACGTACCTTTTTGTTTTTTAAGGTGAAGCTCATGTTACCAATAATGATTGTAAATATACAAAACTAAAACTTATAGTGATGAGAGATAGTTTAGATATTTAAATTTTTAATATTTTTTAAAAGTAATTAACAAACACAATCGGTAGTAATCAATCTATAGAGATGCTAACGAAAATTAGTAGCACTAACTTGAATTTATTAGATATGTTAGAAGACTGATGGTGTCAAGAGATGTATTATCGGCGTGATAGAGTGATCGTGAAAATTGTGAAGAACATGAAGATTGCTATTCACTTGTGACATTAAAACTTAGAGATAAGACTAACTGATCGTACATGATACGATATATGAGATGATTATAATCAAGAATAAATATAAAGAATCGATGGCTAATATATAAATAATTCTCTATGGTATTAAAAAAAAAAAATCTTTAGTACTCATAATCTCTTTGAAAATGGTTTGACATTCACGACTTACATGATGTCCGTAAATGCGATTTGATATTTATAATCTATATGATCACTATGAATATGATTTAATTTGGTGTAACACTATTAACATATTCTGGCATCGTAGGCCAAGTTGATGTGAATCTATTGTCGTTGTCCCTCGGGTGATCCACTTAGGAATGGTAAGATCGGATTTGATTGCCTCTATTTTGTTTTTTCTTTTCGATCCAGAAATTTTTTTTGTTCTTTGGGAGATGCTAAGGGCACATTTCTTCATTTGTTTTTGTTGTGTTTTGTCTTCCAAGATTAGCATTTCCATGAACATGTTGGTCTACCTCGACAATGCATTGATCTTGATTTCAGAATATGCATCTTCCAATTCATGTAGCCCAATCCAAATGCCGTTCCATCTATGATGCTTTGAACTTATTTTCTCGGCAACTGGATAAAGAACATTTAAGTGGGCCAATCTAAATCATGTTTTACGATTATAATAGACTCGACTTGACAATCTTAAATGCTAAAGGGCATGTCTTTCAGTAAGTAATGTTGTTTGAATCTTACACACATTCAACTATAATTGATATGATAATAAAGATATAAATAATATATATATTATCTTTACTTAGTTGATTTATGATGTCTATGCTTATAAATGACATGTTGATGTTTTTAACTTTTAAGATTAAAGTATATGTTTTTAAAAAATATTATTTTCGGCGTTCTATGAAATATTATATATATATATATATATATATATATATATATATATATATATATATATATATATATATATATATATTACTATTTACTTTGAGCATATTTTGCAACCAAAAGGCATGATTCTTCAATGCAACGAGTTTAAATATACTAGCTGATTCGAGTATGATCCTAAGTTATATGTATAGTGATTAATAGCTGATTCGAGAATGAGTTTGAACATGATTAAAGAAAGAAAGTTTGAGTTATGTACGTCAAAGATAATAAACTAATTAGGTATGAATATAATAATAAAAAGTAAAATAAAAATGTAAATAAAAAAATGTGTTATACTAAATGTTGAGATACATAAGTAAGATTGAAAGATGAGTTTAGACCAAAAATATCTTTTTTGTTGAACAAAATTAAACTTAATTGAAGTTGCTAAAATATTAAAATTATATTATTAAAATAATTTAAAATAAATTTAAAATGAGACCTAATAAGATTGAATCGTATGCCTCAAAATAACCTTCTAAGCACCTCTATCTTATTTTGACCATATCTTTTTTATCGACCTGATAACTCATGATCCTTTCTCTTTTTCTTTGGTCATTATCTCATCTTTTCTTATGAAGTCAAAGAAACCCCAACCCAAGGAAGATTGAGATAAGAAAAATCTAATTCTTTCTTGCTATACCTAGGATTTTAATTTTACAAAGTATATACTGATTTTTTCAACTACTTTTGAGTAACTTATATTTTAAATTAATTTTTAATTTTTTTATATATCTTGTATGAAATTTTTATGGTTCTAAGGTCTCTAGTATGATTTTAATCTGAAATTTAAACATAGAGTTATTACTATCCCAATCCGAGATATTGATAATCGTAGGGTTTATATTCAACCTAAATTGATCCCTTTAGGAATATGAGTATGTTATGGCCTTTTGATATATTTTAAAAATCTTTCTTAGGATTCTATAAGATTTAGAATTGAGTTAATACCACCTCTTATCAACCAAGATATGAGATTTATAAGTTTAGACAGTCCCAACCTAATTTCAATAAAACATAATAAGTATTGATAGTTAAATTAGGATAATAGTTTAGCCACCAAATAATTTTATTTTAAGCTAAAATTTAGTATGTATTTAGTTTATATATCTTCAAATTTTTTATACAATTTCATGATAATTCAAGATCGTTTGGTCAACTAAAATAGTGAAGTAAAATTTCTTCTCAAAATTATGTGATGGTTCGATTGATACTAACTAGTTCATTTAATTATAGAGTGAATTATTTAAAAAATAATAGTATAATCTAGATGATTTTTTATATTAAGTATAGTTTATTTTATAAGAGATTTTATCAAATTTTTTATAAATTATTATAATTAATTATTATAAATTAATAATTCAAAAGGTAGAGTTCTTGATTAAAACATCTCATGACCTTATACTCTCAATTTGATAAGTGTATTGCTCTCCTAATACGCTCGCTCATTATACAATGTGATCTTTCATTCATATCTTTATTTTTGAGTTCAATCGAGTAAATATAAGTTTAATTCACTATAAAGTAATGGTCATATAAATTATCATATGCATAATGTATCATATGCATAATATTATATTATATATATATATATATATATATATATATATATATATTATGTATGTATATATATTAACATGTGATATTAGAGCACACATGTTTTTTATGACGTGTAGTATGAGAATGTATGAATATGTTATAATATGCAATGTAAGTATGTGCTATGATATGCGGTGTAGGAGAGCTTGTATGCATTATAACGTACGGTGTAAGAATATACGTATATATTATAACATCATTGTGGGAGTGCATGTATGTATTACGATGTGGAGTATGGGAATATATGTATATATTGTAATGTATGATGTGAGAATGCTCATATATGTTATGATATGAGATATAAAAATTTATAAATTTGATATGTTTCCTATATATGCATATAAGTGTTTTAAATTATTTTGACGTAAAATTTTCCTCTTTGTTTTGTATATACTATATTGTAGGATTATATTTGCTAAAAAAGTTATAATGATGTTTTAACTATTAATTATCTTATGTTGATGATTTTAAAATATGATACTATTTTGCATATAAGAATATTAAAACCTCACTCAAGTGATTGGATAAAAAAGTAAGTATATGCGAGCCCATACCAACATAGATACGGACGATAACTTATGAGTATATTATGTTTATAGCTTTTGAATATATTATGTGTGTGTTTTTCTTTTGGTTAAAAGTTATAGTTACCTACAAGTGTTAAGATCAGTATATACAAAAGAAATCTTATTGTTTTATTTAGTAAATTAATTATTTTTAATTTTAAAATTATTTATTTTTAATTATACTCTTATTGATAGTAATAATTAAACTAAAATATATTATTTTAGGATATGTATGAAACTAGAAGTAGGATATTCGACGGTCATTTCCTTCAAAAATTATGTCATCGATTTGCAACTAAAAACATATTTGTTAGATATAAACAATGGTATGTGAATGTTCTGAACTACATTTGCTAAACAGAGGATAGTCTTCAAGAAAAGCGGCCAAAAGATGACAACGAGCGAGGATGATGGTTGAAACCACCGGAGTCAAAAGGTATCTTAGCCCAATCAATTGCGATAATTGAGGTCGGTGTGTGTATGTGACTCTGCAATTTTAATAAATATACACATAATTTAGCATATCAAACTAATTAATATGAAACATAAATCTGCATCTGTATTCGAGTGAGTGCACGAGAATGGTCGGCCCACATCGCTATTATTGCGGTCTCGTGCTCCATCGATGCCTTCTTCGCTTCCTCCACTCCATCCATCCATCATCATGATCGCGTGTTCCTCCAAGAGATCATGATGCTCCCCGACGCATTCCAGCCGTTTGTTCCTTCCACCCACCCAAAATTAAATCCACCAGTAAGCCATCAGCGGTTACCTTAAACCGGTTGTTATCACCACACTGTTGTGTGTATATATATGCCGAACACCACAGGTGACCGCCCCCTCAACGGAACCGTCGTCGAAGAATCCCCACAAAGAAGAGAAGGGGAGAAGCAGAGAAGAAGGAAATGGGTGGCGCCCGGAGATCGATGGCTGAGGAGATGGTCCTGTGGGCGACGGAGGATGAGGAGGAGGGAGCGGGGTGGAGATGCCGGAAGCACACATTCACCTCCCAGCCCCATTACGGCGTTTGTTCCGGCTGCCTTCGCGATCGCCTCCTCCGCCTCTGCCCGCACTGCGCTAACGAACGCCCCTGCGGCTGCTTCCTCCCCTCTTCGTCTTCCTCATCGACGTCATCCTCCTCGCGGTCCTCAATCTCCTTCGCCGATCTCACCGGATCCGTCGGAGGAAGCGGCGGGATCGGCGCGGATGGGGTCGTATCGCGGTTGATCGAGAGGGAGCCGGCCTTCCGGCGGTCCAGATCCGTCGGTTTCCAGCTCATGCGAGAAACGAGACCGGTCGCCAGCCACGTAGACAGCGGCGGAGCTCCGCCGCGGCCGAAGGGAGGGAGGAGGTGGGCGTCGTTCTGGCCGTTCTCGAGGGCGACGGCAGCAGCAGCAGCAGCGGGGCTATCCAGGTCGAGATCGGTTGGTGCGGCGGGATTGGCGGGATCCGGAGGCGAGGACGAGAGGGGAAAGGGGGGATGGCGATGGCATTTTCCGAGCCCCATGAACCCTTTCCGGCACCGACGATCGACGAATGTGGTACAGGAGAGGCCGCCGCTTTAGCGGTACCGACTAGAGCTAAATAAGACCCGTAGGAAAGTCTCAAGTCGTCGACCTTTCACACGGCCAAAGCAGCAAATTAACCGCTGTCATTGGGTAAAGTTTCCGCATGTATGATATGTTTATGAAACACCGTGAAAGGTCGAGAGTTATTGATCGACGGATCCGTCGAAGTTGTTTCTTTTCGTGTCAATCTCTACCGTCCGATCTTGTGATAAAACTGGACCGCTTGTTGAAAGCAGGTGGAAAGGGGGAGAGTAGTCTGCTTGTGGCTACAATCGTTTGGGACGAACACCTTTGGTTTGCGAATCAAAAGCTTTGAGATGATCCCAGAAATAACACTGCAGGAGATCATTGGCCGAAGCTGGTGATATGACTGCCGAACAATTAGGAAAAATCTCAATCCATATAAAAGATGTATCATCCTTAAGTAGATGGAAGAGTACCGCTGTCACCCATCCGAGTACAGTCCAATGCGTGCCACTGCTTCCTTCTAATTTCCACCGTCGATTAGTATATCCGTCGGTTACTGCTGCGGCCAAAGTGGCGACCCCCGCCAACTTCGGATGCTATCCAATTACTGTGCTCGGTGTTTGAAGAAGTTGGTGACGGTGATTGCGGCCGCTTGTGGGTGGACGGTCGAGATCTGAGACGATTTGCAGGGGTTCCGATTAAAATTGTTCTTGGATAGGATCCTCACCAACCTCCCTAAGCGTGGCTTGTCCACGGGTGTAACGCCCCGCCCCCCGTTCTCTCGTGTTCGACCTCTTTCGCTGCCCGCTCTTCGTTGAAACCCTAGAAGACCTTACGACTACGCCATGAACGGCCCTCGCTACGAGCTGGAAGACGGGTTCCCTGCGACGCGACTCTTTGCCCAGGGCGTCTCGTACACCTACGACGATGTCATCGTCCTCCCCGGTTACATCGACTTCCCCGCCGACGCCGTCAACCTCTCCACCCGCCTCTCCCGCCGCCTCCCCCTCTCCATACCCTGTGTCGCCTCCCCCATGGACACCGTCTCTGAGGCCTCCATGTCCGTCGCCATGGCTTCCCTTGGCGGCGCTGCCATCGTCCACTGCAACGCCCCCCCCGAAGACCAGGCCGCCATTGTCCGCGCCGCAAAGGCCCGTCGCATCCCCTTTGCTACCGACCCCGTCTTCTTCTCGCCCTCCGACACCGTACCCGACTTCGGTCCCGCCGCTTACGCCCTCGTCACCGAGTCGGGTACCTCCAAATCGAGGGTTGTCGGCGTCGTCGCCAAGTCCGATTGGGAGGGCCTAGCGGACAGGGGCGCTGCTGTCTCCGAGTACATGAGGCCGGCGCCAGCGTCGGCCCCGGCGAGCTACGACTTGGAAAAGGTGGCGTCTTTCCTCGCCGGCGGGGGTTTGGAGTACGCTCCGCTGGTGGCGGAGGACGGGGAAGTGGTGGATCTGGTCACCAAGGGCGACGTGGAGAGGATCAAGGGATTCCCGAGGTTGGGAGTGCCATCCTTGGGACCTGATGGGCGGTTCGTGATAGGGGCGGCGATAGGAACCCGGGAGGCGGACAAGGAGAGGCTGGAACATCTGGTGAAGGCCGGGACGAACGTCGTGGTGGTGGACAGCTCGCAGGGGAACTCGATTTACCAGATCGAGATGATCAAGCATGCAAAGAGTACGTACCCGGAGTTGGATGTCATCGGAGGGAATGTTGTCACGATTCCGCAGGCTCAGAATCTGATCAAGGCCGGGGCTGATGGGTTGAGGGTGGGCATGGGATCGGGATCCATATGTACCACCCAGGAGGTCTGTGCTGTGGGCAGAGGACAGGTATGCTATCTCTACTACCTCATCCCCATTGTGCTTTGTATCACCTGCAGAATAATACTTTGTCGATTACTAAGTTTTACAATACGCATTAAGCCTCTTCTAGTGGCTGCAAAGGTGTAATCATTCTGTATAACTTCACACATTCTTTTAAGACTATTAGAGATTTAAACGCTGTGCTTGCATTGATTTGCATAGGCAACAGCAGTATACAAGGTTGCATCTTTTGCAAAGGACCATGATGTGCCTGTTATTGCTGATGGTGGGATTTCAAATTCTGGACACATCGTGAAAGCTTTGGTTTTAGGGGCTTCTACTGTGATGATGGGCAGTTTTCTAGCTGGTAGTGGTGAGGCCCCTGGTGTTTATGAGTATCTGGTATGTTTTATTAAGAGATAAATATTTGAAAACCTAGGATATATTTGCTTATGTTCTTAGACAACTTCCCTCGTTGATATATTATGCCTGCTGTAATAACCGTTTGTTGTTGTTTCATGGGCAACTGCTCAAATGCATCAACTATGCATGATGATCAAGGCCAGCATGTGCTGTGCAATGTCCTCATGCACATTACCTAGAGATCGGGAAATTCTTAGTCTTTACTGGTTTATTATGACGTACCTCTGAGTTGTGATCATCTGCCACTGCGTGCAACATGCAGCATGCATTCTATATATCCAGATCTTACATATTCTTGAATTAGTCATGCATCTAATCTCTGACTTGCTATGATCATGCATTGTTAATTAGGTCAGGCATAATTTGAGTTTTTAACTTAGCTGAATGAATTGTTAATGGGCCCTAGATGGAAGGAAATTTCATTTAACTTGTCATAAAAGAGCAAAAAATTTCTGGTCAATGGTTTTAACATCATTGTATCATCTAAACAGTATGACATCTTCTGTATATCCATGTGTTTTAACTCATGCTGTTTGATGATCAGCGTAGTGAATGAAATGCTTCAAACTAGATCTTCTTGTATGCTCGCATAGCTGGGTTTACACAATTGTCTTGGCTTTATGTTAAAGCTCTGTTTTCTGGTATATGCCTATCTCAAGTTCACATTTGAAATATATGCCATATAATGAAAGAGTACATAACATGAATATCTCTTTTCAAATTCATATTCTCAAACCAAAGAATGTAGCATCTTCTCAGAGCCATAAGGCCCGTTGCCTTGTCTTTCATGCTAGAGATCTTGTAGTAACCACAAAGAAAATATGTCTTGAGAATAAGCCTATAATTTTATGGGGACTTCAATTCATTTATGTTTCTTTATAGGAAATGATGTCTGGTGGCAGAGATTAAACAGGTAGGTACATCTTCTTTGCCTAAATTAAAAGAAGTTGATGTAATTCTAGTGTGGTGGACAAATCTTAAAAATAAGCACCTAATGAAGTGTTGAAGCCATATAAAGAGTGACCAATTGACCCCGATACCCAGAACTAATACTCAAGTGCAAACACTCAGTTAAGACTGAATACACAAGTGTATCATCAAAAGACACGTGTAGACTTATTTGCTTTGCAAAGTGAGCATGTTTATCTTGAAGCTTTTGATGGCATTTGTACACCAATTCTCTTTCTAGGGCTCGATATTTTGTTGTTGCACTGCGATGACTTTGTCCTGCCTGATATCTGCTTTTACAGAATGGTCGCCGAGTCAAGAAGTATCGGGGCATGGGCTCTTTAGAAGCTATGACAAAGGGTAGTGATGCCCGCTACTTGGGCGACACACTGAAGCTCAAGGTTGCTCAGGGAGTTGTTGGTGCTGTAGCTGACAAAGGCTCCATATTGAAGTTTATTCCTTACACCATGCAAGCTGTCAAGCAAGGATTTCAGGATCTTGGTGCATCATCTTTGGAGTCGGCTCATGATCTGTTACGTTCGGAGGTGCTTAGATTCGAGGTATGACTTGTTTTTATAGCTTAAACTTGTTACATACTAATCAACCGTTACTCATTGATTGTGGAGCTTGGTATTTGGATTAACTTTCGTGCCTTCTTTTAGTTATAATGATAGAATACGATGGACTGTAACCACTGAAGAGGCCTCTGGTATTCTCAAATGATGAGCTATGAAAATGTCGAAACAAACACCATGTTGCATATCTCATCTCCAATTTAATTGGCTTCGTAAAATTTATTGTGGGGCTTGCTTGGTGATTGATTTCGAGATAATCTAGTTTTCTGTCATTTACTCGGTTCATTCTTTCTTCTCATCGGGGGGAGTTAGAATAATTTAAAATGTATCTCAATGTAATCTAGCTCTGGTCTCTCTGAAGATATATGCCTATACTCTTACTGTTTGTTGGATGAAATGTTGGTAATGACCACCACCACCAAAATTGTGCAGATTACAGATTTCCTTGTCTTTTTTTGTAACTTCACTAAGGACTCCCTCCCCAAAGAAGGCCAGGATTGTATGGAAAGGGATATGAGTTGGAAAATTTCAGCACAAGAACAACTGTTTTTTTTTTTCATTTAGGTTAAAAAACAAGACAGTTATATGTCATATAGGAAGATGTTGAAATTACTGTATGTAAGTTCTCATTTATTTAGATGCTTATTTTCTGTCCATATCTCCTGTTCCAGGTCCGAACAGGAGCTGCACAGGCGGAGGGAGGAGTGCATGGCTTGGTTTCATACGAAAAGAAATCCTTCTGAGTGCTACCAGACATTTTCGTGAGAAGTATTCTATTCTATTCTATTCTATTCCAGAGTGACAGCTTGTGATTCATGCACATCTAAAAATTATTGTTCTTGGATTATAAATAATGGCAACCATCCTTCTAAGAAAGAAAGGACCTCAAGTTCATGCCAGTGCCTCTTACAGCATGACTTTTGGCCTCTTGTACCGCTGTAGTGCCTGCGAGATCTAAAATGAAGCAAGCCACGTTTCACATGAAACAAGATCCAGAAGGCCATCTCTGATCCGAGAAAAGCTGCAGCAGTAGACATGCAACATAGGTATATATACATCAACAGAGACATAGCACCACCTTCCTTGCGTACAAATACCGACCTTCCTGGCCGCAGCTCCGTCTCACTTTTGAGAAACTCACTGCAACCCTAAGGAGTAGACATGACAACTTCCACAGTTCCGTTTATATATCAGTAGACATGACACAGAATTCGGCACATAAACTACGAACTCCGGCCGGCCACAAGTAAACGCAGGCTGAGCCAGCAATCCTCGCCAAAACTGTCCTCGCTCTCAGCAGACTTATCTGCTGAATGGTGGTGTCTCGGCAACCAGTCTAGAGTAAAGGGCGGCATTGAGCTGCTCCTGCGTGTACACCCTGCTCGACATCTGCACCGTTGCCTGCTGGATCATGAGGTCCTTCACCACGGACACGCTTGCGTAATGCACTTCGAGATCGAGGTCCTGCAATGCAGCCATCAGCCTTGCGGCTGGGTGATTCCGTTTTTGACTCTGCAATCGGATCATGGCCTCCGATCCCAGTAACTTCACGTCGATTTCCACCCCATGGCATCCCTTCATCATCTTGACGTCGTATCGAGGCGGCGGCGCTGGGCGGGCAGGGGCGGATTCGCGCTCCTTCTTGATGATCTCCATTTGTGACTGCAGCTCCTCCTTGTCGGCTTCCGAAGCTTGAAGCTTTGACCGGAGCTCGTTGATGTATGAGACGGCATCACCCAGGAGGGAGGCTTTGTCCATCTTGGACACGTTGGGGACTACCGCACGCAGCGCATAGAACCTCTGATTGAGCTTCTCACGGCGCTGCCGCTCGGCTTCTACATGGTTCAGAGGCTCCTCACGACCGTTGGCAGGCTTACGGCCCCGCTTCCTCGGTCGCTTCTCCGGTTCCACCACCCGGATGCTCTCCACCTCGCGCACCGACGCCTCCAGGTCCGACTGATCCGAATCGGCACCATCGAGGACACCGCCGCCACAGGAAGACTTCAGTTGGCTATTGGAGGGCGGCCTTGTGGGAGCCGACGAGAAGGAGAGCATCCCCTCATCGTTGTTGCTCACCATGGATGTCGTCCCCGTGGATTTGCTGTTCTTCTTGTCGTCTGCCACAGCGGCGGCTTGGTGGTGGGAGAAGACGCTGCCGGTGACAGGGACCGGCGAGGAATTCCTCTTGCCACCGGCGAAATTTAGGATGTCCCCCGACTCCGGCTTGACCGAGTGCAAAGCCACGGAGCCGTTCGAGGCGAACCCGGAGAAATTTAACTCTTTGGAGAAGAAAGGTTGGCTCTGCGGTTTACTGCCGCTACTCTGATGCTGCGGATGATGGATCTGTTGCTGGTGGCCGTAGAGGGCTTTTTGGATCTCCATAGAAGAAGCAGGGTTTTCGATGTGGACAGTGGAGCTAGGGTTGCTTTCGAGTAGGATCGGGAGTTTTGTGACGGAGATGTCGGCGGCGGCCGGGGCAGGGGAGACGGAGTCCTTGATCTCGACCATGGAGGGTTCTGTTAGCCAGAGCACCGACGGATCCGTCTCTCCCTGGTCTGCAGCGGGGGTCGCAGCTGCAGATTGCGGCGCGATCAAGGATGCGCCAGCAGTGGAGGGCGAATCCGGGGAGCCGAAATTGAAGAGGACGCTGATCTTGCCCATGATCTCGGGGCTGTGGAGGATCACGTCGGTGGATCCGAGCTCGAGCACGCCGGACCCGACGGGGTAGCAGACCATGGTCTGGATACCGAACAGCTGGGCCTGGCGGGCGCGCTCGCAAGGCGCGGCAGCTAGACGGTCGCAGCCGGCAACCCAGGAGGGGGCGCCGGCGTAGAGAGCCTGGCCGGGCAGGCCGTCGCCGTTGACGAAGGACTGGGTCATGGAGACGAGGAAGAACCACTCGGTGTCAGTGACCTCCTCCTCGACGGTCTCGTCCTGAGCCGAGGACCCGCCGCCGGAGATGAGCGAGTTGAGCTCCCGCAGAACGCGCTTGCGGTGCTCCTGCTCGGCAGCGGAGGCGGCGCTGGCGGCCCGCTGCTTCCGCTTGTCCTCCTCGCAACCCTTGTAATAGCCGTCGCCCCACCCAAGGAAAGACGCCCCGGAGGCGGCGTCCACGGACGACTGCCAGAATATGCCGTACGTCCAGTTCTCCCCCGCCCCATCGATCAGGGTCTGCAGCCGCTGCTGGAGCGTCTCCTGGTTGAAGTACGCCGTCGGAGGCGGAGCGGGAGTGGGAGGGCCGATGAGGGCCCTCCCCGGATCCAAGGCTGTGGGAAGGGGTGGGGTGGACGGAGTAGGAGTAGCCGCCCACGGGAAGCCCTGGAGATCGGTGAAGGCCTCCATCATGGAGGCATTATCATCTGCCCACAGGTTCATCCTCTTCTCGATCGATCACCGAAGGCGGTCCGCCTCCTGCGCATGAACCGGATCCCTCTGTTCCTGTCACCCACCGTGCGCGCGAGAGAGAGCGGAGCAGGGAGCTTGGCAGCTACCGTTGACAGAGCAAGGAAGAAGGCGTGGAAAGAGGGCGTAAAGGCGCAGAAGAGGAAGGTAAGCGGAGTGGTAGGGGGGAGAAAGATGGAGACGCACACGCAAAAGAATGGTGTGGTGGTGGGTCCATTTCACGTGTGTGCTTTTGTTTGCACTTCAATCGTACAGTTCCATTCACTGTGGATGTTTCCATGCCTCCTCAATGCTTCCACTACTCTTCTTTCTTGCCTTTTTTTTATTTTTCTTAAGCTTCATTGATTTCCCTTATATAAGCAATTAATCAATTACGAAAAGCCTTTTTTTAATTCATTTTCTTTTGCGAAATTAGTCTATTTTAATGCAGTTTGTTTAACCTGCTCATAACTACCAAACTAACTGCGGTGAACTCACAACAGCAAGCGGGTGACGAGCGAGACTGGCGGGTTTGTTTGACCGCTGATTCGTCGCACGTGCCAAATGGAGCCGATAACCTCTCGCGGGGGATCACAGACGCACAAAGGTATCGATCAAGGCGCACGAATATTTAAGTGGGCCGCCACCGTCCGCGGCCTCATTTCTATGGTTCCATTCGATGGAAACTGAAAGGTGGGGGTTCCATTAGCATTGGATGTGGTGTAGGGAGCGACACGTTACGTTACAGTCGCTGGGTGTTCGTTTGTCCTTATCGTCACGTGGCGGAAGCCCATGGCCATGTGATAAGGTTGGCTCGGCCATTCTTTTTATTTATTTATTTATGTATTTTATTGGACGACAGGACGGACGCATCAGTGCCACATGATCTCATTAATGTGATTGATTCACATTAAAGATGCTTAACAATGTGGTACGGCGCGCATATATATATATAAACACATGATTAACTATGGTATCACGTGAGTTATATTAGTCATCACATGATTCATACCCCTCCCAATTCAACTCTACGACCTTTGACTTGTTTTTTCTCAATAGATGCGTGCTAGTTTTCTGGCTGGTGAGTTCAATTTATACGTGTGCTATCTGATTCATAGTTCAAAGTTTCTAAACATCTAACAAAAAAAGAGTTTACTCTGAGGCCGCAGAAACAACTAATACAATTATTTGTAGGTAAACGTTGAGATTAAAAAAAAAAAAAAACAAATAGAGAGTTGGTTGGTGTGACAGCTCTAAAATTCTTTTTTTTAATTATTAATATAGGGCGATTTTTTAGAAAATATTAATATCTTAGGTTTTTTAAATAATATTTTTAATTTAAAAATATCTAAAATATTCTTCAAAAGATTTTTCACCAAATTTTTTCGTCTGGTTTTTTTAACCCATGTTTAGTGTTTTTATTATAATATTTTTTATTAACCTTTATAGTATTTTCAGTACATCTTATATAATATTATATTTTTAGTCTTTTGATTAGTTTGACTGACATTAGAAGTCTATTTAGATTATTTATATTTTTCTGTTATAATGATTAAATATCATAATAGGTCAAAAATATTGTAATATATCAAAACAAGATAAAATTTTTTTTTAGAATAATTTAGATATTTTTAATTTTAAAAAAATATTATTTGAAAAAAAAAATATTAATTAAAATTTTTAAATGTAGATATTTTCTGGAAAAATCGTCCAATAATATATATTCGGCGTGTCTGAACGGGTGATAACTCCAACGACGCACGCAGTTTTGAGCTACAAGAAGTCGGCAACATTACGACGACCAGCCGCCTGACGTGTGACTTGTCGCGTAGCTCTCTGTTGCCCTATGGCGACGCTTTTAGTCTTTACCCCGACGCCTACCTATCAAGGCTTCGAATGAAGCCCAAAGGCGGTGGGTCACACGCGGGCAGTGCGACGCACAGGGGATGCGGCAGTACCGCAGCTCCACGTCGGCCGGGTGGATACCATGTGCAGCCGGCAGCGCGGCGTGGGCACAGACGCCGCGTGGAGCACGTGATTGTCGAACGACTTCAATCATCGTCCGTCAATGGCGTCGGAGCGACGTGAGACACGTGTACGCGCACCATCATGAGAGTGGAGGATACAGGTGGCATGGTGGGATCCACACGGATGGAGAGCAATGGTCGAGCCACGTGAGAGAGACACCACAGTGTCGATATCCTCGGCCAGAGGGAGAAGGGTGAGATCTGGTCCGGCACAATGAATGAATCCTCTGGGCTTGTTGTGTCTTTTTGTTCGTGGCACTCGCAGCAGCAGCAGCAGCGGCGGCGATGTGCGTTTACCCGTACCCAAGGCTGCACCCTAGCGGCGCTCGCATCCAAGACTGGGCCATGGAACAAGGAACCCAACTCTAAATGCAGCCGGAAGTGGGCCGGTGTCAAACACGGGCTCCCTAGGTATCTCTGCGTGTGTTTGTCTTCTTCTTTCATCCTTTCTTCCACTTTAGATAACCACAGGCTCCGTGTCGTGCATCTCATAGGCGATGCCATTTGGGCATGTGGAAATAAATATCGACAGGAACTCAGCAGAACAGTGGTCAAGCTGACTTCGAAGTGGAGGGTAGTCGCTGTCCGAAGACACCAAGAGTTCGACGGAGTAAGGGCGAATGGGAAATGGGGCCAATTTATTGGGCTGAAGAAACTGCGACGAGGGCAAACTGTGACGCAACTGTCGCTCCACCCACTCGTTCCCCTCAGTCGTTAAAGCAACAGAGAAGCTTTCGGTCCGTGTCGTGACGAAGTCTGCGCTTCCGTCTTTATTGCTCCGGACGCAGCGGAAGGGACTGCCAAAAGCAGATAGTGGACGACGGACAGTTCGGAGGTGGAGTTGGAGGTGGAGGTGGATGTGGAGAGATAACAGAGCCAGCCATTTGTCGAAGCACACTTCAATTTGGTCTTTCGCGCCACGCAAGTCAACTCCGTAGCTTAACCTTTTACTCTCTTGCATTCATGGCGCCCTGCTTTATCTTCAATGACAAGCATCGCAGAGATTAGGGTTCCTTCCTGTTACGAAATCAGGTCGTTCATGTCCTCAGCTGTGTTCGTTGTAAGGCCTTAAATAAGCCTTAATTGCCAACAGAGTGAGCGACAGTAGAAGAGATTGAAGCGTCACTTCGTATGGACAGTAACTCTTCACTTCTTTCTATCGAAATGGCAGCAGTTGAATCCACTTGAGGCAGTCTGCAATGTTTCTTATATGATAGTTAATCGAACTGGGAGACATGTAATCATCATAATTCCCAATCGAGACGCCAGAAGAACAAGTACGAAGGTCCAAATGGCCAAGTTCTAATGTATTTTTTGAGGTCAACCACGAGTCTCGTTGCTGCAGAGAGCAAAATCTGGTGACAGATTTGCTTCACGCACAGACCTAACTAGAGAGAGAGAGAGAGAGAGAGAGAGAGAGTATAGGCATGAATAAATATGAAGGTGAGACAGTTCCTTTCAACAGTCCTACATATATTTTGCTGAAAACTGCGGTTGCAGTTTTGGTGTCAGAGAAAGACGAGTCGTGAGAAAGAGTAATCTTTTGCAGAACCCAACTGCTATAATTGCTCGAATCCTCCTCCTCCTCGTTCTTCTTCTTCTTCTTGGCCAAAAGCGTCCCCTTTCCCAAACTCCAAAACCCTCTCCAATATCTCGACCTGTCGGCATTCCCTCTTTCTTCCACCTCCACCTCGCTGCTGCTCTTCTCGGGCCACCAATGATGCTGTCCTCCAAATCCAAGTAAGTACCCTGTTCTACCCAGATCTCAGGCGGGCGAAGCTTGCCTCCCTCCAATTTTGCCCTCAAGATGTAATCTTTTGGTCCATTCCGTCTCTTTTATCGCTTGAAATGTGTGTGAAAAGTTAGTAACCTGCGGTGTTGCGTTGATTCCGTTCGGCCTTCGTGCTCTACTCCCTCACTCCTAGTTCCAACATGCGGGGTTATTGGGCTTGATCCGGTCGTCAAGTTCCCATCTTTTTCGTCGAGTTTGGGTTAAATATGCACTATGTTCTCTCACTCGTGTAGTCTCGATCTGATTGTGAATTATGGGACTATGCCCTGAGGGTTGCTATCGCTCTCGTTTTTCTTGCATTTCAATCTGATCTAGGGTTAAATTTGTTTGGCATTGCTGATCTTTGTGCTACAATTGCTTGATTTGGTTGCTTAGAAGGTCTAAGATGCATACATTGTACACAGATCCGGTTTATCTGAAGCTTCTGTTAGCAAAGGCACACCAGCAACTCCTAGGGCTGGTAAATCCGGAAGGGGTGGATCTACCAAGGCAGATCCGTTTTCGCCTTCACCTCAGCAGCCATCACGCGCTTCCATCGATCGATCACCGAAGTCAGTTGAATCTAGGCCTACCATCGAGCACCGTTCGCCTAAGATCACCACTTCTGATGTAAGACACTGGAGTCCCTTGGTATGATTCAGCTACCCTCTCTCGCTCTGAAGAATAACTTGGTGTCTTGGATTTTTTTCGGTTTTAATTGCAGAAGCAACCACGCTCGGTCAAGGGATTGGAGTTGCAGACACAGCTGAGTGCGGCTCAGGAGGATCTGAAGAAGGCAAAAGAGCAGTTGGCATCTGTTGAGAAGGAGAAGAGCCGAATTCTTGAGGAATTAAAATTATCAAAGAAATCTGCCGATGAGGCGAACGACAAGCTTCAAGATGCGCTCGTTGCACAGAGGATAGCAGAAGAAGCTTCAGAGATCGACAAGTTCCGGGCAGATGAGTTGGAGCAGGCTGGGATCGATGCTGCACAGAAGAAGGAAGACGAATGGGAGGAGGAGTTTGAAATTATTCGGAACCAGCATGCTTTTGATGTTGCGGCACTGCTTTCCACAACTCAGGAGCTCCAGAGGGTGAAGCAAGAACTGGCAATGACCACAGAGGCTAAGAACAGTGCCTTGGGCCATGCTGACGATGCGATGAAGATTGCTGAGATCAATGCAGACAAGGTGGAGCTCTTATCCAGGGAAGTTAGCCGCCTCAAAGTTTTGCTTGATTCAGCTGTGGAGGGTAAGAACACTGAAGCTTCAGAGCTAGCTGAGAAGGAAATGGACTTGAAAGCAATGTTAAACTTGGCTCAGGAGGACTTTAAGAAGTCAAATGAGCGATTGGTTTCTGCTAAAGCAGAGAAGACCCACATTCTCGAGGAATTAAAGGAAGCCAAGGGGTTGGCTGATGAAGCTAGTGAGCGACTCAAGGAGAATCTTTCCGGTCAAGAAAGAGCTGAGGAGGATTTGGAAGCTTACAAGATTCGTGCAAGCAATTTGGAGCAAGACAACATCAGAAGTGCTAAGAAGAGAGAAGAAGAGTGGCGGACGAAGCTCGAAATTGTTGAAAACCAGCATGCCCTGAATGTTGCCAAATTACTTTCGACTACGGAGGAGCTCGAAAAGGTACAACATGAACTTAGAATGGCCATTGATGCAAAGAACACTGCCCTGATTCAGGCTAGTGAAGCGATGAAGAGTGCAGAAATTAATGCAGAGAAGCTGGAGCTTCTTTCGGGGGAAACCAGCCAGCTTAAAGCCTTGCTTGACTCCAAGTTGGAGTTAGATTTGGAGGTCTTTACATTGAAGAATGAGCTTGAGAAAGCAAAGGCTGCTGAAGAAAGGTTGGTAGAGATGGAAGCAACAATTGAGGGTCTTAGGATCGAGGTCATCGATTCAAAGAAGGCTGAATCAGATACTAGCTGTCTAATAGAGGAGTGGAAGAAGAAGACCGGGCTGTTAGAAGTTCAACTGGAGGAAGCAAATGAGCTGAGAAAAACCTCCTTGGAGACTCTTGCTTCTGTCATGAAACAGCTGGAGGATAACAATGCTGTCTTGCAGGACAAAGAACGTGAAGTAGCTGCTCTTGGAGCTCAGGTGGAATCTTTGAGGCTTGAGGTTGCTAAACGCACAACAGAACTCGACGAATCAAGTCAGCATCTTGGTGTAGCAGAACAAGAAGCAGCAGAGATGGGAAAGATGATTGCCGTTCTAAAATCTGAGCTTCAGATTGCAGAGGAAGCAAAAATTCATGCTCTAAATAATGAGAAGGCGGCTATTTTAAATATGCAACAGTTGACAGAGGAGAGGAACAAATTGGAAAATGAACTGGATGCTGCTCGGTGCAAACTTGAGAAAGATCGGAAGGCAATGGATGGCTTGGCTTCAGCTTTGCATGAAGTATCGACAGAAGTGCGTGAAACACGAGAAAGGTTGTTAACTAAACAATCTGAGGTTGAGGATTGCCATGCTCAGATAGAGGAGTTGAAGGTGAGTATCAAGACAAATCAAAAAAGTTACGAGATAATCCAAGAGAAAGCGAAGCATGAGATAGTTAGTGTTCAAGATACTGCCGAAAGACTTGAAAAGGAAATTGAGAATTCGAGATCTGAGCTGGACTCGAAAGTGCTTCATTTTGTGAATTCTATTGAGAGATCAGAGGAGGAAATTACTACCATGAGGGCAGACATGGAGAAGATAACTGACTCATTGAAAGAAGCAGAACTCAGAGTAAGGGCTGCAAGAGAAGAGGAACTCCGAATGATGGATATGCTTAAGCATTTGGAGTCTGAGGCAGGTTCCGCAAGCATAGACGCGGAAGAAGCAAAGGCTGAGAGTTTGCGACTGAAGGAGATGCTATTGGACAAGGAGAATGAGCTGCAAAGTATAAGTCAGGAGAACAATGACCTCAGAGTACGAGAAACTGCAGCCTTAGAGAAGGTCAAAGAACTCTCTTTGTTAGTAGCTGAGGCTGCATCCAAGAAGCCCGAGCAAAATGGTGAAATATCAAGGAATTCAAAGCATTCTGACCTAACAGTCTCAGTTGATTCCTCAGAGGAAAATACAGGTGATGTGGGTGGAGCACAGAAAGCAAACTCAGAAGCAGCTTTGGAAAAGCTGGAAGAACATAGCAGCGATAAAGTGATAATGGAGGACAAGAAGACGAATAATGGTGCTCTAGAAGAAGAAGAAGAAGAAGAAACAGATCTGGAAGGTACAACATGGGAAAATTGCAAGACAATGGACAAGGATCTGTCAACAGAGAGGGAGCATGAGACCGAGTCCACATACGATGAATTGGACTTGAAGATGGATGTTGTTAGCTTGGATATCGCGAAAGGATTAACACCAGGCAATATTGAAATTGGAGCAACCTCGCCCAATAAGCAGCGGCAACAACAACAGCAAAAGAAAAAGAAAGCATTCATGCAGAGAGTTGGGAGCCTACTGAAAAAAAAGAGCAACAAGTAAAGAAAGAGCTGCTGCTGGAATTATTTGTAATACAATTTACATGATGGATGATGGCTTGTGATGATGCTTGTAATGTGTTTACGATCGTCTTGTCTAAAGATGTTATGTTACAGTGCTTGTATCAGAAATTGTTTACTTGTTTCTCCAGAGAACCAACTCCTCTCAGTGTCCTTTCAATATTGCACTGATTTAGTTCTCATGAAGGAGGACCGGTGAATGATGATGTAGATCGGTGCATATGTTAGAAGAATATGTACATGAACAACATCTAGTAGATAAGATTTCTCTAACTATATAAGAAAATTTTTCTATTCTATTGAGGGAAATTTTCTATTCTATTGAGAGTAATCCTCCCTCTTAATATATATAAATAAGGAGAGAATAGCTTCAATATAAAACGGTTTTCTCCTCTACTGTAGCATCGCTGTAGTTTTCTCCTTTGCTGTAGTATCACTGTAACTTCACTATAGCTTTCTTTTCTGATGTGGCTTCTTTCTCTACTTCAGCATTATTATAGCTTTCTCCATTGCTGTAGCTTTCTCCTCTACTGTAGTCGTCGTCGTCGTCGTAGTCGCAACAATAGCAACAGTAGCAGCGATATGTTCTTGCCCTACTTACGAAGCATCTCGTTCATAAATTATTTGCTTTGCATCAATCCAAGATTGATATCTTTGACAGGAGCACCATCTTGTAGAAGCATAATAGCAGATAAGATTTTTTCAATTATATAAGAAAATCTCTTTACTCTGTTTAGGAAAATCCTCCCTCCTAATATGTATAAATAGAAGAGGAACATATTAATACATTTAAGCTTTTTCAATAATTTTTTTTATTTTTTATTCTTTCCAATACTTTTTCTCTTATCATATTTTATTATCAAGACCTAACATTCAACATGACACAGTTGTAGCTTTTAGGAAAACAAGGGAAGCAGATCAGCCAAGATTAGTCACAGGCACATGGCAACTTGATGCCACCAATGGAAGGTTAAGTCAGAGATCTACTTTGGTCCTCTTTTGCACTCGCAAAAAGACGGGGGGGGAAAGCTCGGGACATGTCGTTATAGTAATTCTTTTCTCCTCGGACATGCTTGGCTTTGGAGTTTTGTTGGGTCTGGGGATCAAACGCTCGCTTTCCTTCGAGACTCTCTTTCGCTGTGAATTCATGTGAGATGTCCAATTACTTTAGCTTTTTCCATCATGTGAGGCGTTCTGACATCTTTACTCAATCATGCAAACTGCTTTTTCTTTCCGGCACTGCATGTATGCATTCTTTGGCGTGGCGTTGTCCAAAGCATGCATTCCTAGGGTTTGCATGTTGGTACTTGCAAACCCTAGGAATCTTCCTACTGTATGCCTTGGAGAGACGAACAGGTAGGGCAGTACTGTGCCTACTTTTCCTGAAACTTTACTGTTCTAGGCTGCCGCAGGACTTACCCTGCACAAAAGACTAGTAACTCGAGAGGTCCTTGGAAAACCCAGAAAACTCGCCCAAAGGAGGACAGACGGAAGCGGACCCCCTCTGTGTTGCATTATTTCGGATAGAATCTCACACACACACACTCTCTCTCTCTCTCTCTCATATAGCCATAGCCATAGCCTCCTAAACTTGGGTTGGCGTGATTACAAAACCACAAGGTGGTGAAAAGTCTCCAGAGATAAAGTGGTTGATGTCAACATGGCATGTGCTGCGATTAATGCTTCATCTTTGTAAGAACATGGTTTCCCAATGCGTATCTCTTGTCCTTTCCATTCCGTCACCAGTGTAGTTTTGGGTGAATTTGCTGACGAGCTTGGAGGATCTGTTGACAAATATATGCCTTCAAAATCATACATGAACAGCTAATCAGATGCCCAACAGGTAATTGAGCCTAATAAACCAAGCTAATCAAGGCTGGACGTATATGCTTGCTTATACATATATATTATTAAGCTCATTGCTACTGCCACCATTGGAAAACGAAAGAAACCATGATTGGGGGGGGGACATGATGGACATGGACTAAAGCTGAAAGTTATAATCTTCTTTTTTTGTGGGGTAGACAAAGAGGTCATATCATGTGACTGTTAGCTCGGCAACGTGTTACAGAACAACAGATGATGGAAGATGAAGGTTGCAATGTTTGGAAGGGTTGGAAACGTTCTTGAAACATGTCGGAGTTACGATTCTAAGCTGTTTGGTTGCCCCTTCTTATACGATTAATCTTTCACTTTGATCCCATGCAAAGAGTTCTTAAGATCACTTGTCATGCAAAGACAGACATGCAAGTTTTCTTGTGTTGGAAACTCAATGCAAAATTCTTTGAATACTTGTTTTCATTAGTTTAAGCTGAGGATTGGGATTTTGATGTCGATTCTAAATGAAGAAGACTGTTCGATCCAAGTGCTGCATTATTTGGGTGACGGAAGGAGGAAAGGTAGGACGCATGCAGTGGTTGCAAAGTTCATTTGCAATTAGCAAACAACTCTTCACTCTTCTCACCGATCCAAATTGCTCCCTTCTATCTTATTATTAGTGTTGGGATTGATAAGTATTTTAAAATATTTTAAATCAATCTCCTATCAAGATAAGGAATACTAATACGTGTTGGGATTGATAAGTATTTTAAAATATTTTAAGTCAATATCCTATGAAAATAATAAACACTAGTACGATATGTAGTTCTCATCAAAGAAAAAAATTGATTCATCTATAAATATTTAACGTATCTTTAGATTTTGGTGGGGGACGACGGGACCTAAAAAATATTTTAGGTGTTCTTAGGTTTCTTCTAAGGTATCCATAGAGGATGCTTTATGAGTTACAAATTCTTTGAGACCTATATGAAAGAAAATATAAGAAAATTATACTTGAGCAAAGATAATTTAAGGTCTTATAATTGATCTCACATAATAAAGAATCTTTTTTTTTTTGGTGGATGATATAGATAGGGTTAAGCTTGTAAAAAAAAGTTGATATATTTTTATTATTAATTCATAGATTTTTTAGTTTTTGATTTTCCTCGCCCTTGCCAACAAATAGTCCATTAATTGAATCCATCCAATGATATGTGGTGAGAGATGTCACACATTTCTCCAAAGATGAGGCCAAACCTATCTTTGTCCAATGCTTTATTAAGTGAATTCAGCAGTGGGGAGAAAGAAAGAGATGTTTCACCAACAAAAACAATAAATAATGTTGCGTTATGGAAGCAAACAAATTTCCAAGAAAATGCTTGTTTAGGTTAGAGAAGCATTAAGGATTGGCTGATAGCCCAACAATCCTCAGGCCCACAACCCAATGGCAGTATATTTTGTTTTAGGCTTAATGTAACATGTTAAATTAGGATTACATTATCTTATCATGTTTATATTTATTTAGTGGTCTCTACTACCTCATTTATCTATTTAAACTTAATTATCTCAATCACGGCTTGTACGTACAATGAAGAAAAAATAATAATCATGTCATGTGGGCATCAGCCTATTATAAAATACCAGTGGAATAGAACATCATTATAAAAAATTCATCAAACCATAATAATCGAGGTATGTTATTGTTCTCTAGACGCTTATAAGAGGGATCACTCTCACTCAAACAAACACCCCTTAGCTACTGAACAATTGTTTTTGCCTCTCTTTTGACCAAGTCAAACTTGTTGTTTCGTTATCATCGACATCCACTTTATCATCAAACAACATAAAAACATCTAAGTCTCTTCAAAAATATTACTTTAAACTTCACACTACAAATGCCTGTTTTCGGGTCAATAAAGAAGAACCAAACAATCCTTAAAGGAGTTCAAATGCTTAGCCGAAACCATCTGCATTGACTCCTCTGTCCTCGAAGAGGAAAGGTGAATGAATCAGGTGTTGCCTTCAGCTCAGCAGCTAAAGTAGTTGAAGACTTCCCGAGCCTCATGTCATCTTGATTCTAGAAATGCCGCGTGAGCCGATAGCAGGTCACAAGCAAAAGCAGATTTGCTCACGGCTGCTCCGGTGAAACCAATCTTCCGTAGTAAACCATCTACCTAATCCATTACGTACGCTTTTGGAACTCTCTAACTCTCTGAGCAAAGCACGGAACCTCGACGTCAAGCAGACCATTAAAAGTCAGTAAAAAAAAATAAATATCTAATATATTTTATATAGTAATTGTATGAGATCATCGAAATGTTACGGTCGCGAAGCTAGCAGACCATTTGATCAATGTATCAAGCTGATAAGACTTTCATGTCGACTACATAAAGCCTATGATATTGTGGTGCTCGATGATATTCTACTTAGTAACAATCCATCTTATGATAAGTCTTTGGCTATGTGTCAGACTCCTTATCGATCCGCAACATGATCAACTCTTAGGGTAAGTCTTTGGTAAGACCCCTTATTATAACATCTCACAAAGTCAACAGTTCATACATAATGATGCTTCAAGAAGAAAAGTCAGTGGTAACATTTGATTGCACGCAATACAACAGTGCATAGATCGGAGAAAGCGATGATCTGTTAGGCTTCTACACCGGTGGATGGCTTACTGCTAAAGAAATCCATCTTACCTAATTGATAACTAATAATTGATAACTAAGAAATCCATCTTACCTAATTGATAACTAATATATATATATATATATATATATAT